ATGTTAGCCTGAATGAGTGGCTGATCTTTTTTTTTTTTTTTTTTTTGAGGATAAGTCTCTTTTTTTTTTTTTTTTTTTGAGATAAGAGTCTCACTCCGTCACCTAGGCTAAAGTACAATGGCATGGTCTCAGCTCACTGCCACCTCCGCCTCCCAGGTTCAAGTGATTTTACTGCCTCAGCCTCCCAAGTAGCTGGGACTACAGGCCCATGCCACCACACCCAGCTAATTTTTGTATTTTTAGTAGAGACGGAGTTTCACTATGTTGGCCAGGCTGGTCTTGAACTCCTGACCTTGTGATCCGCCCACCTCGGCCTCCCAAAGTGCTGGGAATACAGGTGAGCCACCGTGCCTGGCCTGGTCTCGATCTCTTGACCTCGAGATTCGCCTACCTCGGCCTCCCAAAGTGCTGGGATTATAGGTGTGAGCCACCATGCCCCGCCGCCTTTGTCTATTAATTTAACCCCATCTATTGCTACTCCTTCATGCACAATACTTCAGTCACACTGGTCTTTTGGTAATTCCATTGTCAAACCAAACTTTTTCCTGTTTTGGGGTTTTTGTACCTGGCTTTCTCTTCACCTGGGCCAGTCTTTCCCCAGAACTCTTTGCATGGCTGTTTACTTTTTATCCTCCATGTGTCTGTTGAATGTATATATAGCACATCAAAGAAACCTTTCCTTGACCATTCTCAAGTAGCTTATTTACTGTTTTCATAAGCACTTTCCACAAGCTGTAATTATTTTATTGCTTGGTATGTTTATTGACATGTTCAAATTTAATGACACGTTATAGTTTCATTTGAACAGTGTATTACTGTATAAAAGTATAGCATCATACCTAAAAGAATAGGCTCTAGATTCAGACCGGCTGAATTTGAATCCTAGATCCACCACTTACGTGAACCTGGCCAAGTAGTTTAATCTCCCTAGGAATCTCCCTAGGCCTCGATTATTCCCATCTGCCAAAAAGAAATATTAAATGGTACTCATATCATAGTATTGTAATAGAGATTGAGTTAAGGCATCAAAAGTGCTTAAAACAAAGAATGCCACATAATTCTTCAGGAAATATACATAACTGTTATTATTTATCACCAGTTTCTAGTGCCCAATACGGTGTCTGGGATTCAAGGAATAGATACGAGGAACTATGTAAAGTGTATGCTTGCTATACAAGTGTGTCAGGTATTATTGATCCAACTCTGCAAGGCAATCCATTAATTGTACGTAGTTTGGGAATAATCCTTGGGAAAATAAATAAATAACTGTACATAGGATTTAAAAAAAAAATTTATATAAAAAAATGAGACAGAGTCTTGTAATGTTGCCCAGGCTAGGCTCAAATGCCTAGGCTCAAGTGATCCTCCCTGCTCAGCCTTCCAAAGGGCTAGAATTACAGACATGAGTCACTTCACCCAACCATAAAAACTATTCATAGGTTTTATTAATATATATATATTTTTAATGATATATATACACATATATTTTTATTTTATGTATATTATTTATTTATTTATTTATTTTTGAGACAGAGTCTCACTCTGTCGCCCAGGCTGGAGTGCAGTGGCGCGATCTTGGCTCACTGCAACCTCTGCCTCCTGGGTTCAAGCAATTCTCCTACCTCAGCCTCCCAAGTAGCTGGGACTACAGGTGCCCGCCACCACACCTGGCTAATTTTTGTATTTTTAGAAGAGATGGGGTTTTACCATGTTAGCCAGGATGGTCTTGATCTCCTGACCACGTGACCCGCCCACCTCGGCCTCCCAAAGTGCTGGGATTACAGGCGTGAGCCACCATGCCCAGACAGGTTTTATTATGTATTTGCCACTCAAGCTGGCAAATCAGCAATAAGACATTTCTGCGAAACAAACCAAATGACTTTATTTCTAAATTGTTTATTGATTGAACTATTTGTGCTTCATTTCTCCCTGCTAGAACATAAAGTCTTCAAAAACAGGGACTAACCCTTCTTTCTACTCACCAGTAAACATCACTGAGTACCACTCTGACACCATACCCAGTGCTCCCTGCCCTTGAAAGAACCAGATGTTGGGAGGTGGGGACATTGATAAACAGGCAGTTATAAAGTGTGGCACATACTCTATTAGAGAAATACCTGGTGTTATATGCTGATTTGGGAATCCAAATCAGATTGCAAGTACAGCTAACAAGCCTACCAAGGGAAGTCCTCCATAATGCTGACACAAGGTCTGGCACACAATTGGTGCTGAATAAATGGATGGTCAGTACCATGGTGAAGAATGGAATGAGAACAGGAGTACTGGCTCATGCCTGTAATCCCAGCATTTTGGGAAGCCAAGGTGGGCAGATCACTTGAGGTCAGGTATTCAAGACCAGCCTGGACAACAGGGCAAAACCCAGCTCTACTAAATATACAAAAATTAGCTGGGCGTGGTGGCGGGTGCTTGTAATCCCAGCTACTTGGGAGGTTGAAGCAGGAGAATCGCTAGAACCCAGGAGATGGAGGTTGCAGTGAGCTGAGATCACACCACTGCACTCGAGCCTCGGCAACAGAGTGAGGCTCTGTCTCAAAAAAAAAAAAAAAAAGAAAAGAAAAGAAAGAAAAATACAAAACTTAGCCGGGCATGGTAGCACATGGCTGCAATCCCAGTTACTTGGAAAGATGACTCAGGAGAATCGCTTGAACCCAGAATCGGAGATTGCAGTGAGTTGAGGTCGCACCACTGCACTCCAGCTTGAGCAACAGAGTTAAGACTCTGTCGTTAAAAAAAAAAAAAAAAAAAAGAACGTAATGAGATATTATTAAACATATCCAGTAACTTCTCCACCTTCTACAGGTAATCATTGAAGACTAGGAGGTATACCTCACTTATCAATCTGGAAACCAGATCACTGTCCCATTCTATAGACCAGAGAGCTATACCCACTGAGAGGTGGAAGACAGGAACAATAAAGATCAAAAAAGAAATAAAATGTCAATCTTCAAGTGGAAGATAACCTGGCAAGATGCACTTTGGGTAATCTATCTGAAATAAATCAGATATAAACACAGTCATTATTTTAAATATTCTTCCATTCTGACTTATGTTTAGCATTTGTGCTTTAATATGTAAACAATTAAAAGAAAGAAATTGCCAAAACATGGATAAAATTTATTTTTAATATCCTCTGTATTCTATAACATATAGAATGCAAATTTTTATTTAAAAGAATATTTGCAATGCCCTTTTACTGATAACGTAACTGAGGTATCTCTTTTTTTTTTGAGATGGAGTCTTGCTCTGTCGCCCAGGCTGGAATGCAGTGGCACGATCTCGGCTCACTGCAACCTCCACCTCCCAGGTTCAAGCGATTCTCCTGTCTCAGCCTCCTGAGTAGCTGGGACTTTACAGGTGCGTGCCACCACACCCGGCTAATTTTTTGTATTTTTAGTAGAGATGGGTTTTCACCGTGTTAGCCAGGATGGTCTCGATCTCCTGACCTCGTGATCTACCCACCTCGGCCTCCCAAAGTGCTGAGATTACAGGCGTGAGCCACCGTGCCCAGCCTGATACTTATTTTATATACTTAAATCTTAAGATTTAATAACAATAATTAGCTACAGTGTGGTCTACAAATGAAAATATACAAATACAAATGGTTTTAAGAACACATGTATTTCTTTTTTCTTTTCTTTTTTTTTTTTTTATACAGTCTCACTCTGCCGCCCAGGTTGGAGTGCAATGGCGCAGTCTCGGCTCACTGCAACCTGTGCCTCCCGCGTTCAAGCAGTTCTCCCTGCCTCAGCCTCCCAAGTAGCTGGGATTACAGGCACCTGCCACCATGCCTGGCTAATTTTTGTATTTTTAGTAGAGACGGGGTTTCTCCACGTTGGCCAGTTTCGTCTCCAACTCCTGACCTCAGGTGATCCACTCACCTTAGCCTCCCAAAATGCTGGAATTACAGGAGTGTGCCACCACATCTGGCCAAGAACACATGTATTTCTACCTACTGGTACACTTATAAATCATACAAAGATACATACTTATTTTTAAAATAAAGATTTTCAAAATGAAACCAGCTCATCAAATTTTTACCAAGGTATCACAAGAAACCTTTTATGTAAAGAAATAAAAATTGAAGCAAAAATAACACTTTCAACTTAGTTTTCCTTCTTTTGTTTGAAAGAAACGGGGTCTCACTATGTTGCCCAGGCTGGTCTCGAACTCCTGAGGTCAAGATATCCTCCTGCCTCAGCCTCCCAAAGTGCTAGGGTTACAGGCAAGAGCCACCATGCCCGGCCTCAACTTAGTTTTCTAATGTCTTTTATTTATTTATTTATTTATTTTGAGACTGAGTCTCACTCTGTCACCCAGGCTGGAGTGCAGTGGTATAATCTCAGCTCACTGCAACCTCCGCTTCCCGGGCTCAAGCAATTCTCAGCCTCGTGAGTAGCTGGGACTACAGGCACGAGCCACCACACTGGCTAATTTTTGTATTTTTAGTAGAGGTGGAGTTTCACCATGTTGATCTTAAACTCCTGATTTCAGGTGATCCACCCAACTCGGCCTCCCAAAGTGCTGGGAATAAAAGCGTGAGCCACCACGCCTAGACTTCTAATGTCTTTAAAGTCATATCAAAGGGCCAGGCGCCATGGCTCATGCCAGTAATCCCAGCACTTTGGGAGACCAAAGTGGGCAGATCATGATGTCAGGAGATCGAGGTCATCCCGGCTAACACAGTGAAATCCCATCCTACTAAAAACACAAAAATTAGCCTGGCGTGGTAGTGGGCACCTGTAGTCCCAGCTACTTGGGAGACTGAGGCAGGAGAATCACTTGAACCCGGGAGGCAGAGGTTGCAGTGAGCCAAGATCACACCACTGCACTCCAGCCTGGGCAATAAAGCGAGACTCTGTCTCAAAAAAAAAAAAGTCAGATCAATTCTACAAATTACTGTTTCTGAAGACAGAACTTTAAATATTCCCTTCCCATTTCTGACATGCTTATAATAAATCATAAAAGCACTCTAAAGAGAATAAATGGAATTCTTACATTTTAAAACATTTTCTTAATATAAAGGATAACAATTCAAATCATATTTTACATTTCTATGTCTTCATATTGCACTAAAATTATTTTACATGGAAGAACTAGTTGATGCATCATAATACCTTAGAAACATTTTTTGATATTCACATCTACATTAATAAATATTTCACAGTCTACTTAAATAAATATTCTAGTATAGAGCGAATCATCTAACAAAAACAAATCTACAGTGCTACTTTGTTTTTGAGAGCAAAGATATTCACTATTTTTATTTCTGCCTCTGGGAAACACACTGACATTTTCAAACACATGTAAGTCACTCATAGTACCTAGTAATAACAATTGAGCAAGACTTAGTCGTTCATTCATTTATTAAACGGGGTCTCATGATGTTGCACAGGCTGGCATGGAATTCCAGGGCTCAAGTGATCCTCTCACCTCAGCTTCCAGAGTAGCTGGGACCACATGCCCATCCTACCATGCCCAGCTTCTCCATTTATTTTTGTGTCTCTACATGGCTACTTTTTAAATACAACATTAATTTTATTTAAAAAATGAAGGAAAGAAGTGTTTTTCCTATTATCCAGTGGAGCATAATTGTGAGAAGAGAGATAACAAAAATAAAATGTCAATGCTGGCTGTTTTATAGAACTTAAAAATTCAGTTCTCATTATTCTACTGCAATATAACCAACCCTGCTTATTTTAATAATAATAAACACTGTCAGTCTTTTAAAAACCATGATAACAATTAAAAACTTTGAACAGCATGACAAAGCTAATGGCAACCTCTTGAACCCCGTTTTAAAGCTAGTTCTACTTCCAAATAAAACTTTAAAGCGGTTTAGCCAGCATCAGCTTAGGAATATTTTTTTCAATGTTCTAAGGTATAATGTTTGGCATCAAAAAGTATGGTAAGCACTTCTGATTTGTGACTAAAGAAAAAATAATCAAGTACTAAAATACCAGTGGCTCCTGTGACAGTGTAAATATCCCCATTCAAGTAATGTTCCCCCAACAATTAAAGTAACGTTTCATTTCTCCCTCTGAGAATGTATTAAGAAAAACCAACCATAATTTTTTTTTTTAGTTGAGGTGAAAAACCTGCTTCATAAGTTCATATGTTGTAAAAGCCACTGCTTGAGAGGGAATACAGCGAATGTAATTAAGAGATAAACCACGATAGAGTCCTTTTCGAATTCCATGGTGTCCATAGACATACTTCATAGTATCCCGCATGGTACTGAAAGACAATGATTAAATGATGACACCTCTATGCCCACTCATGAAGAAACAATTTCAGGATCCATAATATCAATTTTTTTTTTTTTTTTTTAAATGGACTCTCGCTCTGTCACCCAGGTGGGAGTGTGGATTGCAGTGGTACGATCTCAGCTCACTGCAGTCTCTGCCTCCCAGGTTCAAGTGATTCTCCTGACTCAGCCTCCTGAGTAGCTGGGATTACAGGCGCATGCCACCATGCCCAGCTAATTTTTGTAATTTTTAGTAGAGATGGGGTTTCTCCATGTTGCCCAGGGCAGTCTCGAACTCCTGACCTCAGGTGATCCACCCACCTCGGCCTCCCAAAGTGCTGGGATTACAGATGTGAGCCACCGCGCCCAGGCCATAATATCAATTTTTAAAGAAGATTAAATGCCATCTTGAATAGCTTTAGGAAGACAAATGTTATAATAAGCGAAACTTTTTTCATAATAAAAAGGCAAATCATTCCAAACAAGTACAAGCATTATGCATCAAATTTCAGGACTCATTAGTACAACATATTTTGTTTGTACTATGTCTATGACATGTATTGGACAACACTATTTCATACTTATATTTGAAATATTAATGCAATCCTTTTAAAGGATGTATGTCCAGTTGCCCTTTAAGCCTTTATTATAGCTGAAGTTGCACAATACCAACAGCAGGTGGTTATAGAACTAAAGCTTGAAGGACTATCTTTCAGATTTCAGCAAAGAAGACTTTCCTGTTTCAGAGTTGTTCCTTTCCTTTTAAACCAATAATTTGGGCTTGGCCTTCCCCTTTCAACAGGCAATCTGGACTGAAATCTTTTCAAAAATCTTTTTTTTTGAGACTAAGTCTGGCTCTGTCGCCCAGGCTGGAGTGCAGTGGCCAGATCTCAGCTCACTGCAAGCTCCGCCTCCCGGGTTCCCGCCATTCTCCTGCCTCAGCTTCCCGAGTAGCTGGGACCACAGGCGCCCGCCACCTCGCCCGACTAGTTTTTTGTATTTTTTAGTAGAGACGGGGTTTCACCGTGTTAGCCAGGATGGTCTCGATCTCCTGACCTAGTGATCTGCCCGTCTAGGCCTCCCAAAGTGCTGGGATTACAGGCTTGAGCCACCGCGCCCGGCCAGTATTTTTTTTTTTTTTTTTTTTAAAGAGACAGGTTCTCACTCTGTTGCCCAGGCTGGAGTGCAGTGGCAATCATTGCTCACGACTGCCTGCAACTCCTGGGCACAAGCAATCCTCCCACCTCAGCCTCTTGAGTAGCTGGGACTATAGGCACATACCACCACCATGCCTCATTAATTTTATTTTTAGTTAAAAAAATTTTTTTTAGAGACAAGGTCTTACAATGTCCTCCCACCTCAGCCTCTCAAGTAGCTGACTACTACAAGCACAGGGCAATGCTCATGGCCAAAAAAATCTTTTGGGTAAATAAGGCAATCCAAATTCATGAACAAATGTTCTGCTCTTCCCCTGAGAGACAACATATCACCAATCAAATGGAATGATTTTAAATCACTATAAAGAAAACTCTGGAGCTGTGCTATACAATCACAGCAGCCACTAGCCACATATGGCTATTAAGCACTTGAAATGTGGCAGTCCAAATCAAGATGTGCTGTGAGTGTAAAATACATCCTGGATTTCAAATACTTCATATAAAAAAAAAAAGGAAACAAAACAACGAAATGTTGAGGTGATAACATTTTAGGTTTAACAAAAAATACTTTTCACAATTATTTTTTTTTCTTTTCTTTTCTTTTTTTTTTTTTTGAGACGCAGTCTCGCTGCCAGGCTGGAGTGCAGTGGCACGATCTCGGCTCACTGCAACCTCTGTCTCCTGGGCTCAAGTGATTCTTGTGCCTCAGTCTCCCGAGTAGCTGCGACTATAGGCACGCCCCACCACACCCAGCTAATTTTTTTGTATTTTTAGTAGAGACAGGGTTTCACCATGTTGACCAGGATGGTCTCGATCTCCTGACCTTGTGATCCTCCCGCCTTGGCCTCCCAAAGTGCTGGGATTACAGGTGTGAGCCACCGTGCCTGGCCCTTTTCCTTTTTTAGACAAGAATCTCACTCTGTCGCCCCGGCTGGAGTGAAGCAGCATGATCTTGGCTAACTGCAACTTCCGCCTCCCGGGTTGAGGCAACTCCCTGCCTCAGCCTCCTGAGTAGCTGGCATGACAGATGCCTGCCACCATGCCCAGCTAATTGTTTTTGTATTTTTAGTAGAGACAGGTTTCACCATCTTGGCCATGTTGGTCTTGAACTCCTGACCTCATGATCCACCCACCTCTGCCTCCCAAAGTGCTGGGATTACAGGTGTGAGCCACTGCTCCAGGCCTCTTTTGGTTTTTTTTTGAGGCAGAGTCTCACTCTGTCACCTAGGCTGGAGTACAGTGGCACCATCTCGGCTCACTGCAACCTCTGCCTCCTGGGTTCAAGCAATTATCATGCCTCAGCCTCCCGAGCAATATTTCTTTTTATACTTTTTAAAAATTTGGCTACCAAAAATGTTAAACATGTAGCTCACATTATATTACTATTTTTAAAAACTGGCTGGGCATGGAGGCTCACGCCTGTAATCCCAGCACTTTGGCAGGCCAAGGCAGGCAGATCACCTGAGGTCAGGAGTACCAGACCAGCCTGGACAACATGGTGAAACCCTGTCTCTCCTAAAAATAAAAAAATTAGCCAGGCATGGTGGCAGGTACCTATAATCCCAGCTACTAGGGAAGCTGAGGCAGGAGAATCGCTTTAACCCAGGAGGCAGAGGTTGCAGTGAGCCGACATCATGCCATTGCACTCCAGCCTGGGGGACAAAAGTGAGACTTTGTCTCAAAAAAAAAAAAAAAAAAAAAACAGCTCTAAAACATTATTATTTTTTTTTTAAGAGACAAGGTCTCACTGGGTTGCCTGGGCTGGTCTTGGACTCCTGAGGTCAAGTGATCCTTTCACCTTGGCCTCCCAAATTGCTCAGATTACAGGCATGAGCTACTATGACTAGCCTAAATTTAATCTTTTCTTTGTTTTTGTTTGTTTGTTTTGTTTTATTGAGACGGAGTCTCGCTCTGTCGCCTAATTGGCTCACTGCAACCTCCACCTCCCTAGTAGATGGGATTACAGGCACCCAACACTACGTCTGGCTAATTTTTCTATTTTTAGTACAGACGGGATTTCATCATGTTGGCCAGGCTGGTCTCAAACTCCGGACCTCAGGTGATATGCCCTCCTTGGCTTCCCAAAGTGCTAGGATTACAGGCATGAGCTATCGTGCCTGGCCCTAAATTCAATTTTTAACAGGGGGATTAGAACCTGATTATAGACCAGGCACGTAGGCAGATCACTTGAGGTCAGGAGTTCAAGACCAGCCTGGCCAACATGGTGAAACCTTATTTCTACTAAAAATACAAAAATTAGCCAGTCATGGTGGTGTGTGCCTGTAATCCCAGCTGCTTGGAAGACTGAGGCAGGAGAATCACTTGAACCCGGGAGGCAGAGGTTACAGTTAGCCAAGACCATGCCACTACACTCCAGCCCAGATGACAGAGTAAGACTGCATCTCAAAAAAAAAAAAAGAAAAAGAAACTGATTGCCTGATTGTAATCTTACAAAGTTACCAAAATAAACTTTGGGAGATAAAATGGAAGATACAGACTATTGGTCAAACTAGAGTCATACCTCCTTACTGAGTTTAATGTTACATTTCCTAAAGAAAATGAACAATGACATATGATGAACTTACAGGCACTTTTCAAATTCTGGCAGAACAGTTCCTAATTGCATTCGCCGACGTGTCACATCAAATGGGTAGCTAAAATAAGAAAAAAGGCATAAAGAATTAAAAATTTTTGGTTTTCTACTCAACAACTATTGAATACAAAGCCCTATAAACTCAAAGAAATAATGTGTTACTGCTCTTATTGTTCTGTCTAACCTAGGAGTCAGGATATAGGCATATGAATAAAATCAATTAACAATATAGAGATCTTCGCTTATGTGATCCCTCCGATTAGAGGATTCTTCTCTCCCATCACCGTAATATCAAGTTCTGTTCATTTCTAAAGGCCAAATGAAATGCCAGTTCCTGAAGAAACAAACTGGTTGCTTTTCACTGTTGAATACTAATATACAGTTTCTCAACATTGGCACTACTGACATTTTGGGTTGGATCTTCCTTTGTTGTGGGAAACTGTCCTGTGCACTAGAGATATTTAAGCACTTCCCTGACCTCTGCCCACTAGATGCCAGTAGCACTCTCCCAGCTGTGACAACCAAAAATGTCTCCAGACATTAACAAATGTCCACTGGTGGTAAAACCACCCCCAGTTGAGAATTGCTCTACTGTTATGCAGCAAGTCCCCTTGAATACAGTAGACGAATACAAAATTTTCCATAAGGCCTAAAACTAATAATACAGATAACTGCCTGAAATTAAATACACAATATACAAATGCAATCTCTCTTTTTTTGTTTTTTGAGATGGAGTCTCACTCTGTCGCCCAGGCTGGAGTGCAGTAATGCAATCTTGGCTCACTGCAACCTCCACCTCCCAGGTTCAAGCAATTCTCTGCCTTGACCTCCCAAATAGCTGGGATTACAGGTGGCCGCCACCACACCCGGCTAATTTTTGTGTTTTCAGTAAAGACGGGTTTTCACCATGTTGGCCAGATGGTCTCTTGACCTCGTGATCCACCCAACCCGCCTCGGCCTTCCAAACTGCTGGGATTACAGGCGTGAGCCACCGCACCCGCTCTCTTTCTTTTTTTCTTAGGGGCAAGGTCTCACTATGTCTCCCAGACTGGCCTCAAACTCCTGGGCTCAAGCAATCCTCCTGCCACAGTCTCCCAAGTAGTTGAGACAACAGGCAGCACTACTCCATCCAAACATGTAATTATTTATAATATGCTTAAAGTGCACACACATCTGAAAAAATGTATTAAATTGATACTTATATTTTGCAAGGGATCCTCTTTTTGAATAATCTATTAGAAAAAATAAATGATTAACCAATGGTGAAAATCAGCATTGGGTAACCATAATTTGAATAAATCAAGTTGGTGAAGAAACTTACGATATTGTCTGCGCTATTGCTCCAGCAACACCACCACAAAGTAAGTTTACGTGAGTTTTCAACACTAAGACATTAGGATTGTCTGATGAAGGTCTGCCAAGAAGGGTAGGAGCATGGGAAAGCCCAACACTCTTTAAGGTACCAAAAGTAAAAAATGAAACACCTGAAAAAAAATAATAAATTCACCATGATGCTTAACGTAACATGAGCTGTGAAAGAGACACCATTCTTAAATAATAAACACATTTCCTAATTTCTGGTGTTTGGCTTAATTTAAAATAGAAATATTTGTGTACATAAATAACCGAAAGATGACAAAATTACCACCAATAAAAAATTATACCTTTGGTTTTCATGCACCACTGCAGTTTACTGCACTGACGGAGGCTATAGTGGATATAATGCCACTTTATATGTGAAAAAAATAATGTTTTCCAAGGTTTCACATGAGAAACATTAAATTCATGACTATTAATTACAAGGAAATGTGACAACTTACATTTAAATAACAATCATGGCCAGGCACGGTGGCTCACGCCTGTAATCCCAACACTTTGGGAGGCTGAGGTGGGTGGATTACCTGAGGTCAGGAGTTCCAGACCAGCCTGACCAACATGGAGAAACCCTGTCTCTACTAAAAATACAAAAGTAGTCGGGTGTGGTGGTGCATGCCTGTAATCCCAGCTACTTAGGAGGCTGAGGCAGGAGAATCATTTGAACCCAGGAGGCGGAGTTTGCAGTGTGCCGAGACCACACCATTGCACTCCAGCCTGGGCAACAAGAGCGAAACTCCGTCTCAAACACAAAACAAAACAAAACAAAAAAACAGTGATGGTGATAATGTAAGATACAGGCAAAAATTAAGAAGTGAAAAAGCATTTTTATTTTAATTAAGTGTCTAAGTTTGTCTTCAAGGAAGAATTGTGACCATGACAGAAGCGTTTATGTTAATTCACAAAACACGTAGAATCTAATAAAAATAGTATGCAGATAGTGCTTGTTAAACATTACATGATTTTACTAGAACCATTAAGGTTATTTATTAATAAAATTAGGAATGAAATTCAGGGAGGGGAAAAAGTAAATAGATATGAAATTCAAGCATTCCTCCCAACTAAGCCTTACTCAAGATATTGTGATGTTTATTGAATTGGCCAGGCTCGGTGGCTCATGCCTGTAATCCCAGCACTTTGGGAGGCTGAGGCGGGTAGATCACAAGGTCAGGAGTTTGAGACCAGCCTGGCCAACATGGTGAAACCCCGTCTCTACAAAAAATACAAATATTAGCCGGGTGTGTTGGTGTGCGCCTGTAGTCCCAGCTACTCAGGAGGCTGAGACAAGAGAATTGCTTGAACCCAGGAGGCAGAGGATGCAGTGAGCCGAGATCACAACACTGTACTCCAGCCGGGGCAACAGCGAGACTCTGTCTCAAAAAAAAAAAAGATTCATAAGGGATTTCTCTTACGAAATATAAAGACTCATTGTGAAACTGCCCTAGCCCATGTGGCAGCTCATCCTTCTAATCCTAACACTAATGGAGGCTAAGGTGGGAGGACTGCTCAAGCTCCAGAGTTTGAGACCAGCCTGGGTAATACAGTGAGAACTCATCACTGCAAAAAATTTTTAAAAGGAGGTAGATGCAGTGTGTTACATGTCTGTAGTCCCAGTTACTCAGGCCGCTGATGTGGGAGGATAACCTGAGCCAAGGGAGGTCAAGGCTGTAGTGAGCCATGATTGCACCACTGCACTCAGCTATGATTGCACCACTGCACTCCAGCCTGGGCAACACAGCAAGACTCTACGTCAAAGAAAAAAAGAAAAAAAAAAAAAACAACTCTGCATTATGTTATTTTTTTAAGATGACTGGGAAAAGAAGATACTTTTTTTTTTTTTTTTGAAACAGTTTTATTCTTGTCACCCAGGCTGGAGTGCAATGGTATGATCTTGGCTCACTGCAGCCTCCACCTCGCGGGTTCAAGTGATTCTCTTGCCTCAGCCTCCTGAGTAGCTGGGATTACAGATGTGCTCCATCACGCCTGGCTAATTTTTGTATTTTTAGTAGAGACGGCATTTCACCACGTTGGTCAGGTTGGTCTCGAACTCCAGACCTCGTGCCACTCCCCCTGGGCCTCCCAAACTGCTCGGATTACAGGCGTGAGCCACTGCACCCGGCCAAGAAGATACTATAAAATGGTGCCAAGTCAAAACTGAAGGGGATTTAAAAAAAAAAAAAAACTTCCTTAACAAAGAAAATAAATACTTCCAGAGAGATTAGTGGCATATATATAAAATGCTAAATGTTAAAAATCATTATCAGAAGAAAATATTTCTTGACACAATAAAGACTATCCATAAAAGAACAGATTGATACATTCAACTACCTTAAAATTGGAATTTCTGAACCACTAGAACAGCTTAAAAAACAATTTTTTTTTTCAAACTGGGACAGGGTCTTACTCTGTCATTCAGACTGGAGTACAGTGGCATGATCACAGCTCACTGAAGCCTCAACCTTCTGGGCTCAGGCAATCCTCTCGCCTCACACCAAGCCTGGCTAATTTTAGAAAATTATTTGTAGAGACAGATTCTCCCCATGTTGCCAAAGCTGGTCTCAAATTCCTAGGCTCAAGTAATCCTCCTGCCTCAGCCTCCCAAAGTTCTGGGATTATAGGTGTGAGCCACCATGTCTGGCCACAGCACATTTTAGTTTGCTATTAGTGCACTGTTTTTTTGTTGTTGTTGTTGCTGCTGCTTTTTTTTTTTTTTTGAGATGGAGTTTTGCTCTTGTGGCCCAGACTGGAGTGCAATGGCGCAATCTCGGCTCACTGCAACCTCCGCCTTCTGGGTTCAAGCAGTTTTCCTGCCTCAGCCTCCCAAGTAGCTGGGATTACAGGCATGCGCAACCACGCCCGGCTAATTTTATATTTTTAGTAGAGATAGGATTTTTCCATGTTAGTCAGGCTGGTCTCAAACTCCTGACCTCAGGTGATCTGTCTGCCTTGGCCTCACAAAGTGCTGGGATTACAGGCATGAGTCACCGCACCCGGCCCTTGTTGCTTTTTTGTTTGTTTGATTTTTAGAGACAAGGTTTCACTCTGTCACCCAGGAGAGTGTCCATTCTTTTGGACGAAGCTCCTACACTAGGCCCTAACAGACCAGACTAAAAATCAAAACAGAGTCACCCATGCTTAAGTTCCACACTACCAAACTAAAACTAGTTGTTACCTGATCTCCTGAGAAATTAGGAGAAAGAAGTGACAGCTACTTTCACTAACAGGCCAGTTTCAATCTTGAATAAGCTTGATAGTAAACTTCCCTCTGCTTGATTGATTGATTGACTGACTGATTTATAAATGGAGTCTCACTCTTTTGCCCAGGCTAGAGTGCAGTGGCGGGATCTTGGCTCACCCTCCGCCTCCTGGGTTCAAATGATTCTCCTGCCTCAACCTCCCGAGTAGCTGGGATTACAGGCACACGCCACCAAGCCAGCTAATTTTTGTATTTTTAGTAGAGACGGGGTTTCACCATGTTGGCCAGGCCAGTCTCGAACTCGTGACTTCAGGTGATCCACCCGCCTTGGCCTCCAAAAGTGCTGGGATTACAGGCTTGAGCCACCACACTCGGCTCCTTTTGCTTTAATACTTACACAAAAAAGGTAGCCTAATATAACCTGAAGTTAACTAGTGATTTTTCTATTTTATTCTTCCTGTCCCCAACTTACAAGGATAGTAACTTTGAACTGAGCAACCTGCTTGTTCATTGTTTCTGCTTTCTTCAACCCTTTCTCTATATAAAATCAACTCCTTCGGGTCTAGTCATTCCAACTCTTACTCTATTTTTATGAAATAAAGTATTGCCCAATTCTAGAATTGCAAATAAAGCCAACTGAGATGTTTAAACTAAACTGGCTGCAATTTTGTCTTGTAACACAACTGCATGTAAATCCACAATTACCTCAAGATAAAAAGTTTAGTTAAAAAAAAAAACAGGACTGCCGGGCACAGTGGCTCACACCTATAATCCCAGCACTTTGGGAGGCCAAGGCAGGTAGATCACCTGAGGTCAGGAGTTCGAGACCAGCCTGACCATGGGCAGGAGAATCGCTTGAACCCAGCAGGCAGAGGTTGCGGTGAGCCGAGATCATGCCATTGCACTCCAGCTTGGGCAACAAGAGCGAAACTCCGCCTCAAAAAAAAAAAAAAAAAAAAAACAGGACTGTAAACAAGGTAATAATGGAGACTAGAGAACTACAGGTATCCTTATTTTTCTTCTTTCTACTTTTCTATATTGTCAAAATTTCCCATAAGTCTTCATTATTTATAATGAGACAAAAACCACTTTTCAATTCCTATTTTTAATTAACATGTTCATAAAAACTAAATGTTTAACATCATCTAACGTGTGTGTTAATAAGACTACAGCTGGCTCAGATATTAAGAAAAAGATGTAAAGTAATTTTCTACTTATCGTATACGAATAGTCATCTTTATATCCAAGACATTAATATTATGTGACCATGCATAAATCATTTCCTATTAAAAGTACTTAACAGACAGCATCTTTTTATATTACCATTTCAGAAAAAAAAAAGAAAAAAAAGGTAATATTTTAAACATGCAAATTAGGATTCTGGCAAATTTGAAACATACCTGCATATGGAGCCATTCCTAAAATAGTAGGCATCAGACCTCTGTAAAATCCAAAGAAACCACCTTCCTTTTGAGTGAAGGAAAATTGCAAGTGAGATTACATTGTGCTTATTATCATAAACATCAAAGAACAAAATCACACTTTATAACAGAAAAATTATTCTGGGATCCACCCTGAAACACAAAGATGTGCTTTCATAATTATTGTTATTAACATCAATAAGTAAAAGAATAATTATTTATATGACATTCAAAATGTTTTCCTAAGTATAAAAGGGCATGTTATAGATGAGGAAGGTAAATATGAAATACCTGTGCATAAATTGTTTTGAATGCATGAATAATTCCTGTATAGGTGTGTTCCCCTTTCACCTGGAATGCTAGGCGGACCCTAACCATGTCAAGAGGGTAAGTACAGATAACTGCTGTCATACCTGAAAAGAAAGTAGAAACTTAAAGGTAAAAAAAAAAATTTGATGTATACATGTATTCCTCTATCATTAGTATTATTCTAAATATTATGGCAATGGTGAAAACCCAATAAAATCAAAGGTGATATTACTGATAGAATTATACCATATCATTAGATGCAAAAACAACCTAGTAAGTGAAGGTTTGCAAAAAATATTTTCAAGTTCTCACTGTGAAGTTATACTGTCAGCACCAAAATGGTACAGTGTACAGTGTAAGGGAATCATGAGATTTTTTTAAAAACAATTATTCTACTATTTATGTATTCCCAGTTAAGACATCAGAAAGGAAACACAGTAGGTCCTCCTGATCCATCGTTTCCACATCCACGGATTCAAGCAACCATTGATGGAAAATGTAGTGAGGTCTACAATGGTTGCATCTGTACTGAACACGTACAGATTTTTTGGTCACTGTTTCCTAAACCATGTAGTATAACAAATATATACATAGCATTTACATTATATTAGGTATTATAAGTAATCTACACCCAGCCCAACTCCATCTATTTCTTAATTCCTTTTCCCATGTTCCAAGTTTTCTGGTCACTGGCTGAAAGGGGTCTATTAAACCCCTTTCAGGCGTGGTGGCTCACGCCTGTAATCCCAGCACTTTGGGAGGCCGAGGCGGGTGGACTGGTCAAGAGATCGAGACCATCCTGGCCAACACGGTGAATAATTTTAATTTAATAATTTTATAATTTAATAATTTAATAATTTTAATAATATTAATAATACAAAAACTAGCTGGGCGTGGCAACACATGCCTGTAGTGAGGCAGGAGAATCACTCGAGCCCAGGAGGCAGAGGTTGCAGTATGCCAAGATGGCACCACTACAGTCCAGCCTGGCAACAGAGCGAGAGTCCATGAAAGAAAAGAAAAGAAGAGAGAAGAGAGAAGAAAGGAAGGAAGGAAGGAAGGAAAGAAGGAGAGAGAGAAAGAGAGAAAGAAAGAAAAGAAAGAAAAAAGAAAAGAAAAGGAAAGAAAAGAAAAGGAGGTTTAATGGCAAATCACTGTGGGAGCTGGGCATGCTCACGCCTGTAGTCCCAGCACTTTGGGAGGCTGAGGTGGACAGATCACCTGAGGTCAGGAGTTGAAGACCAGCCTGGCCAACATGGTGAAAACCCATCTCTACTGAAAATACAAAAATTAGCCGGACATGGTAGCGAGCACATGTAATCCAGCAACTTGGGAGGCTGAGGCAAGAGAATCACTTGAACCCAGGAGGCGGAGGTTACAGTGAGCCGAGATCGTGCCACTGCACTCCAGCCTGGGTGACAAGAGTAAAACTGCATCTAAAAAGGAAAGGAAAGGAAAGGAAGGGAAGGGAAGGGAAGGGAAGGGGAAGGGAAGGGAAGGGGAGGACAAGAGTAAAACTGCATCTAAAAAAGGAAAGGAAAGGAAAGGGAAGGGAAGGGGGAAGGGAAGGGAAGGGGGAAGGGAAGGGAAGGGAGGGGAGGGAAGGAGGGAGGGAGAGGAGGGAAAGGAGGGAAGGAAGGGAGGGGAGGGGGAGGGAGAGGAGGGGGAGGGGAGGGGGAGGGGAGGGGGAGGTGAGAGGAGGGGAGGGGGAGGGAGAGAGGGAAGGAGGGGGAAGGAAGGGAGAGAGGGAGGGAGAGGAGGGGAGGGAGGAGAGGAGAGAGGGGAAGGGAGGGGAGGGGTAGGGAGGGGAGGGAGGGGGTAGGGGAGGGGGAGGGGAGGGAAGTGGGGGAAGGGAGGGAGGGAGGGGGAGGGGAGGAGAGGAGAAGGGGAAGGGAGGGGATAGGGGAGGGGAGGGGAGGGAAGGGGGCAGGGGAGGGGAGGGGAGGGGGGAGGGGAGGGGAGGTCACTGTGGGAGTTAATGTAGTGGTTAAATAATGAATTGGTAGGAAACAAGAATATCCAGAAATTTGTAAAGGTAAAGGAAGTGGGTGGGTACCGTGGCTCAATCCTTTTAATCCCAGCACTTTGGGAGGCTGAGGTAAATGGATCGCTTGAGTCCAAAAGTTTGAGAACAGCCTGGGCAACATAGCAAAACTTAGTATTTATTTAAAAAATAGGCCGGGTGCGGTGGCTCACGCCTATAATCCCAGCACTTTGGGAGACTGAGGTGGGAGGATCACTTGAAGTCAGAAGTTCCAGACCAGCCTGGCCAATATGGTGAAACCTCATCTCTACTAAAAATACAAAAATTAGCCAGGCGTGGTGGTGGGCACCTGTAATCTCAGCTACTCTTCTTGGGAGGCTGAGACAGGAGAATCCTTGAACCTGGAAGGCAGAGGTTGCAGTGAGCCAAGATCATACCACTGCACTCCACCCTGGGTGACAGAGCCAGACTCTGTCTCAAAAAATAATAATAATAATAAACTATTAACTTTTGACTTATAATCAAAATTGACCAAAATGGTCAAAAGTTAAAAGAGTATATAGTCTAGGGACAGACACAGTGGCTCACGCCTGTAATCCCAGCACTTTGGGAGGCTGAAGCAGGTGGATCACTTGAGACCAGGAGTTGGAGACCAGTCTGGGCAACATGGTGAAACCCTGTCTCTAATAAAAACACAAAAATTGCTGGGTGCAGTGGCTCACGCCTGTAATCCCAGCACTTTGGGAAGCTGACACGGGCGGATCACGAGGTCAGGAGATCGAGACCATCCTGGTTAACACAATGAAACCCTGTCTCTACCAAAAACTGGGGAGGCGAGGTAGGAAAATAGCATAAACCTGGGAGACTGAGCTTGCAGTGAGCCAAGATCATGCCACTGCACTCCAGCCTGGGTGACACAGCAAGACTCCGTCTCAAAAAAAAAAAAAAAAAAAAAAATTAGCCAGGCGTGATGGTGGGTACCTGTACTCCCAGCTACTCAGAAGGTTGAGGCAGGGAATCCTTGAACCCGGGAGGCGGAGACTGCAGTGAGCCAAGATCATGCCACTGCACTCCAGCCTAGACAACAGAGTGAGACTATGTCTCAAAAAAAAAGAGAAGAGTATAAACTCTAGAGTGTACCTCCTTGCTTCAAATTAGACTCTACCACTAACTAGATATACAACCCTGATCAAGTTACTTAATCTGGGTTTCAATCCTGTTTTCTGTCAAATGAGTATTATAATAAGTGGGTACCTAAATCAGGGTTTCGTAAAGATTAGGTGAGCTAACATATGTAAATGCTTAAAATAATTCCTGGTACATAGTAAAGGTTACATATAAGTGTTAGCTATTATTCTCCAGTGTATTCTATTGAAACTATGTACTTTTTTATCCTTTCCTTTGAGAACCAATTTATTTGTCTCCTCTTCTTGCATCCCCTTGCCCCCCATCTGTTTCCTGCATATCAAAGCGTACAAATTTGAATTAAAAGGGAAGCACAATCAGAGAATTACTGAAGAAGAATATGTAACAACGTGGGAATTCAGCTTGCCTGGTGCTAGTATTCAGACTGACATCCATAACAATCATTCAGAGGGTGACTGAGGTTTTCAATTCATGAAGCTACGGTCTCCCATTGGGCCTCTTTTCTCCATTCACACACTCCTTACTATTCTATCTAACAGTTCTTTTAAGAAGGCCAAAAAAGCCCTCGATGAACAAATAAGGCAAATCAGAAACTACTTACCTTGAATAGTGATGGTAACAGCTTTCTTCTTCCCTCAGTTTACAACTACAATCCAATACAAACAGTAGAATATCTTTACCTACCAGGAAGCAATGAGACTCAATCAAGCTGAGACTTGCTTTCAATTTTTATGAATGTGCAAACTCTTCTCTTTCCCTCCCTTAAGTCAAGAAACTGAGGACATAAAGATGAATCTAAACAAAGTCAGACTTTTTTCTCTAAATTCTCATCATCTTACTGTCTCCATAGTCTAGAATCCCAGGAGTTATGGGAAACCTGAGAATATATTTTAACCAGCAATTACATTAGGGATCATATTTAGAAAGTATGGTAAATATGAATTATTTAGTGCATTCCAGAAAGAAACACAAAACACTTTTTTTCTTCTTTTTGTTGAGATAGTGTCTCGCTCTGTCACCCAGGCTGGAATGCAGTGGTGTGATCACTGCACACTGCAGCCTCAAACTCCTGGGCTCAAATGTTCCTCCTACCTCAGCCTCCCAAGTTGCTGGGATCACAGGTGTGCATCACCCCACCCAGCTACAAAGGATTTCTTAAAAAAGGAACTAACATTACAAAGAGAGAGTAAAGGGAAAGAAGAAATCAATATTAGAAATTGCATAATACAGGACATTTACAGACCCTCATCAATTCATCCTCTTCTGCAACTTCTCAATGAATACGGTAGTGGATTTGTTTTCAAAGATGGTTTCTCACCACCCTCCATCCCCATCTGAGGCTGACATAGTGGGAGCAGCATCCAGGGTCCATGTACATATTCAAAGAGATTAAAGTATAACAAAAATACATAGATTCTAAATACATACTTTAGACAAAAGAAGGGCTCCAAGCATCATAGATACAAAAGCTAAGCCACAAAGCTAAGCAAATTGGTCTAGAGTAGGAGTCCAAGGAAGTCCAATTCTACAATAGTTTGTCCCTTGGAAACACGTTACTACTTTGAGGTTGACTTAAATATCAGTTATGAACAACCGAAATACACCTGTCGATAGTTGTGTGCAATCTCTGATGAGTATGACAACTAAAATTATGTTCTTAGAGTAGGTTCTAGGTAGAAAAAATTCAGTTATGACACTCATGAGCCACAATAGAAACCATTATAACACAAAAGAATAACTGTACATCTTTTTCTTCTTACTTCTAACATTTTTTTTTTCCCGAGATGGAGTCTTGTTCTGTTACCCAAGCTGGAATGCAGTGATGTGATCTCGGCTCATTGAAACCTCCACCTCCTGGGTACAAGCAATTCTCCTGCCTCAGCCTCCCAAGTAGTTGGGATTATAGGCGTGCACCAAGACACCTGGCTAATTTTTGTATTTTTAGTAGAGATGGAGTTTCACCATGTTGGCCAGGCTGGTCTTGAACACCTGCTCTCATGATCCACCCCACCTTGGCCTCCCAAAGTTCTGGGATTACCCACCGTGTCCTGCCTTTATTTTTATTTTTGAGGAAATGGGGTCTCATTGTGTTGCTCAGGCTGGTCTTGAATTCCTGGGCTCAAGCAATCCTCCCTCCTTAGCCTCCCAAAGAACTGGGTTTATAGAGTATATGCCTTTTGTACAGGATTCTCACATAGAAATCACAGATCTCTAATACCTGTACAATGTAAGTCAAAAACCCAAAGGGCTTAAGAGTAGAGGTCTAAGCATCATGCCACTCCCCCACTCCCACAAATCAGGACTCAAATTCTATTAATTGGAACTTACCTACATTCTGATTTTCAAAAATTCAAGAATTGGACTACCAGCTCAGAAGAGCAATTTTCCCAAACATGTAGGAAGCTTGTTGCTTTTGAATTCTGGATCAGAGCTCAAGGAAGATAGAATTCCCCCCCTTTTTTTTTTTTAATTTTTTTTTTTTTTTTTTTTTTTTTTTTGAGACTTTCTTTTTTTGTCTTTGTGCCCCACCTAGAATTCCCTTTTTTTTTTTTTTTTTTTTTTTCTGAGACGGAG